TCACACACACACACACACACACACACACACACACACACACACACACACACACATGTACGAATGATCGTTTGTCTTTCCTCCTCAAACGTACACCAATTCTACTGGTGCTAATTGTATAATTTAAAAGTTTCTAGTCATCGCGGTTTTTTTTTACTGGAACTATGCTTCCTACTTTAACACAGCCTACGTATGGCAATAATGGCTCATTTGCATTTAGTTTCCACGTTACGAGAGCACAGCCTCAACAAATATAGTTGGCAATGCAAGACCTCTTCAAGGAGGCCAGAGTATAATATACGAAAGAGCTTGTTTTGTATTTCAAGACTTCGTGCTGTCTGTGTTCATATAACTGTATTGACATTCACTTCTCCGTCAATGAAGATCGCTTGGACCAGCTAAAGAGACGTCAAGCCGTCCAACTACGGATGTTTGTACTGGGCGTCAAGTGTGTATTTAATCATAGCCAAACAGACAAACCCCTTTTTCACAGTGAGCATGCAGTGGGAACAATAGAGACACGCTGCTGGATCAATAATTGCACTTGAAGTTGAAGCATCTCTTTTTCCGACCCGTACATTAAAAACATGGATTTCAAATCAAGTTATGCAGGTTTTTACCATTATCTCATAGACGTGTTTCCAAATATATGTGAACTTACTGTTTCTACTTTTTCTCAGCTGTGGTAAAAAAAATGTCATTCAAAGCAATTAATGTAACAATTTATAGAGCTGACATCCTTTTAGAATATTATTATTCCATATCCTGTCCTTACTTCTTCTATCATTGACAAATTAATGTGTGCTTTCTTTGGTTCTCAAACAGCTGATGCATTTACTCAAAGCAAAGTAAAATATGCTCTGCAGAGCAAATAGGATGAAATCATTATGAAACTGTAGGAAGACAGGGAGCAAGCATTAAAGCGTCACAAAAAAATGTTATGCCTAAAAATAGTAATTTTTTAGTTGCCACTCCATTATCACAGTCATGAAGACTCACTTGAAAAAATATCATTCAAGTTCATACTTTAAAATGTATTAGTCGGTGTACAGATCGACAAGGTGCAAAAACCTCCGTGTGAGCTCTACCTGGTAGAGAACGTAGAGTCTACTGATGTTGTCGTTGAGTCGCACTGTGTCCCTCCAGGACCCCAGCAGGTCCATTATGTTAGCAAGGGTGGACGGCGACCACCGGCGGCGCTGGTTGAAGAACTCATTGAAAGTTTCCGGGGCAAAGGTCAAGGCATCTGCGCCCGCGCTGTAGTCGATACGGTGACCTTGCTGCAGGAGGAGAGTGCACAGCCACCGGTCCTCACCTGTAGCAGAAAAGTGTAATAGTTTTAGATGTTTTACGCCCCCATCGACTCAATTTTGATCCATTTAAGAGGCAGTCTGCTCCGACCATGCCTGTCATAGCCTCAGACTGAAAGGTGTACAATTTCGAAGTAAGCACAGCACAGAGAGATATTCTTTTTTTTCAACTTTCTCACACAGGGGTGGAACCCACAGGTTCTACGTGCGACGGTAAAGAGCCTAAGCTCTACACAGCTGACGCCAATAAGAGGAGAAACACAAAGACAAGCTTAAGTCTCTGTCGCAAGACCCCCTTAACTTTCATCGGTCGTGTGTCTGTGGCTAGGTTTTATCATGGATTCCTTGCCAACATGTGGGCCCAAAGGGAGACCATGTTGCATGTGGCACGTACAAGCACAGATTCCTTCGCTGAAGGCATTTGTAAAATAGTGAGACAGTCGAAAATTGGTCAAAGTAGATGCTTCAGATAGTATGTAATCTGCCAGATCCTTTTAGCTATGATGAGCATTCAAATGCTAGCAATTTCCGAAAATGTTTATAATCGAGATATAATACCTCAGTAATTGATATCCAGCGTGTACATATTGACAAAATGACACAACAAATATTAGAATTTCTATACTAGAATTGTATTTGAATTCTTTTGAAGGCATTTTTGCACTTGTCATTATGAAAAATAATATCCGACACAAAAGGAATACAATTTGGGGTTTTTTCCTTTCCGTCTTCAATCTGCGCTAAAGGTGTTTTAATAAAATCGACATTAGGTTGTATTGTTGTACAATTTATCGACAATGTCCTTTACTGTGTCCTTTTCGGTGAAGTAAAATGTCACACGAATCTCCTGTTGTTCGTGACCTGCTATAGTTGTATAAAACGTGGCAATAATACAGTTATTACACACGCTGTTTACCCTGGACAAAGGAGTCTCAATAATAATTATCTGGATGAACACAAATTTTGTAATCTGTATAGATACATCTTACTTGTAATTTAGATGAGTTTCCTTTTGCAAAACAGCATAAAAACATGTCAGTCGTGTATACTGAGGGTAGAGTCCTTGCCTAAACTCTCTTAAAACAATCTATAGGTTCCCACATTCTGTAAATGACGAGTTCAAGCCATTAAAAGATATTCTGACAATATCCTTCATAGTGCGTATAACGAGGAGTCCACGGGAAAAACTGGTATAGTCATGAACTGGAAATTGTGAGGGTGTCAATTTTGAAAGCTTGTGGACTCATACCTTCATATTTGTTTGATTGGTGGTTGTTGTTACGTTTGTTGAATAGGATATCTAACAACAATAATTAAACAACAGTTGAACAGAAATACAGTTTTAAGTCAACAAATGTTCAAAATTGATTTCAGTTTGACTATTCACCCATTTTTCCCATAGACTCCTCAAGTTCAAGGAGTACCAAGCACTTTTCAGAAACATCAGTTACATTGCACCTTGTTCAAACTGTATGAAATGCCTGGCCTCAGTGGGCTTTGTCGTGTACATCTTCATCACGTTGTCGTCCATTAGAGCCGAGCCCCGGAACAGACTGAAGCATCCGGGGCAACACAGGACACAGCCGAAGACATGCTCCGCCGCCTTCTGCAGCCAATGACCGATGGCGTACTCAAATTGCTGATACCACACCATCGGGCCTAGGAAAGAGAACGGGATACAAGAAGGACAGAGATAACGTTGTGAACATGACAGATGATGCAATGAGATTTTACGGAAAACGCCTAACCGGGGTTAACCATGTGATTACCGGACAATGACTTGTAAACGACGAGCTTTGTAACAATGAATGTTGAAAAACTTTTAATCTCTCTCTCTCTCTCTCTCTCTCTCTCTCTCTCTCTCTCTCTCTCTCTCTCTCCCTCTCACTCTCTCTTTCGATACCTATTTTTGTTCATCATCTCAACCAACTCGCTCCAAGTGAGTGACAAAAAAGGGTGTTCGATCATTAAATCAGTACATTATAGGTTCAGTTTTCGACTGCCAAGAACAGTATACTGCTGGGGTGATACTCCTTCTTATTCTCACTCTAAGCTAAATGAGTGTTCCTTGAATAAAAAAGGCATCCAAGCTGCATAGTAACTGAAAGCAAACATTATTTAGACCTTACATCCTTGAAGTATATTGAAGTTGCCTGAATCCTAGATCGAAGTGATTATAAACCATCACTATAAATTCTCTCTCAATCAAAAAAGAATTGAGTATCTTACCCGATCCAATCGGATGAATTCTACCGCAGACAGCACCGACTTTCTTGTTCTTCTTCATACGATCTACCAGCAGCTTAACCGAGTCGGGCTTGAAATCCACATCACCGTCCAGCGTCAGAATGAAAGTGTTTTCCGAGGTCTCTACATACTAAAGATAAAACGTAGACAGTGAGAACATTCGTAGATTTCTTGTTGTTGTTGGTGGTGGTGGTGGTGGTGGTGTGGTGGTGTAGTTGTTGTTGTAGAAGTTGTTGTTATTGGTTGGGGGGGGGGTATTTAGAAGAATTCATGAAGTATGGCCTGGTATGACGTACTTTAAAGTGCCTCTCAATATACCCTTAGCTTAGTTAAGAAGCGGGACATCCAATGCAACTTCCATCTACGAACGGACAAAGCTAAGTTGGTGACGAGACACAGCAACATTCCAAAAACTCCCTAACTTCTTATTTACTTGACAAGGGATCGTACGAGTGCTACCTTAATCAACGTAGTCCAAGATTACAGCAAATGAGCTAATCATGCCGTACTGTGCAGAAAATAATATTAATGATTAAGTCTAATATTGGGAAAAGGCATTACAAAAGACAACTTTAATATACAAGTTAAAGAAGAACCAAAAACGGAAACTTTCAGCCCTAAATATACACATTCTTTCTTTAAACAGGTTCAACGAGAAATCTATGGAGGTCAGGTGGTGAATGGCAGACATGTTGTTCAAATCGTAGTAAAAAAATTGTACAGAAGGCCACTGCCAGCCGCTGTTGTTATACGTATAATGTGTTCCTTCCTGTTTTATCATATTAATTATCCTAAGTGCTAGCTTTGTTCTCTTTTTTACATCTCTTCTCTTTGGATTAAGCAATGTGTTTACGTCCCGTTTTCTTTAAAGGATAGATGTAAGTTAAGTTTATAATATCAATATTATTATACATATTTTACATGTATGTGTGTGCAGGTGGTGGGGGGAGGGTGGGTGTGGGTGTGGTTGTGTGTATGCGTGTGTGTGTGTGTGTGTGTGTGTGTGTGTGTGTGTGTGTGTGTGTGTTTGGGGTGTGTGTGTGGGTGTGTTTGTGATTGTGTGTATGTGTATGTGTATGAGTGAATGAGAGAGTGTGCGTTTCTAACTCTCTCTCTTTCTCTATCTGTCTATCTATATTTATCAATTCATTCATCCGTAAATCTACCACACATTGTGTGTATATACAAATATATACTTTTAAAGAAAATGTTTAGACTCTGTTATATAATATACAACATAATATATAACTACATCGTACTTGTATGTGTGTTTGTTTTAAGTGTGTATGAGTGTTTGTATGTTTGTATATGTGTGCGTGTGTATGTGTGTGAGTGTTCGTACCATTTACACAAGATAGAAACACAATAAAGTAACTAAGGAGAGTTACTAGACTATCATGCGTAGCCAACCTGCTCATATTCTTCAGGAGGAACGCGTAACATGAGATTTCGGAGAGGAGGGTTCTTCCCCTTCCGGCGTTCCTGCCTGTTCTTCCGGTTCCGAACGCTGGGGTTGTTCTGTCGGCTCTTTGTTTCTTCCTCTACGTCACTTCCGTCGCTCGCACCCAGAAGTCTGTAGCCCAAGAGGTAGTACAAATACATCACCTGATTAAAGGAGAGACCGCAGTCACGTTAACGCTTTTCTTGCTTCTGTCGAGTTTATACGGCAGCGTCTAGCTTTTCCAAACTACAGAAGAGTCCAAAACCATTAGATTATGTGAAAATGTGGAGTGTGATGTCCGACTGGATGGGGTTTGTTTTTTTGCTTGTTTATTTTCCGGGGGGGGGGGGGGATTTTAATGTTTTTCGTTGGTTTTTCTTTGAGGGGAGGAGGGGGTTGGAATATGTCTTTCTAATTTCGTTCTTCATAGATGGTAGAAGACACTGATCCTTACTTAACGGAATACTAGGAGTAGAGTCTGGGTGAGCCTGGGCTACATCAAGTATTTCAAACACAAAACAAAATGTTTTAATCTTTTCAGTCTTTGTTTCAATAGCAGTTCAGAACATGAACGGACATCCAGAACGTTGGTTTCTCGGGAGAAAGGTGCGTGTGAGGAAAACGTACAGGCTGCACTAACACGGCATGTAGAGGCCATCAAATATTGTCCTGCGGCTCTCAATTAACTAGAGGTAGAGAGCGCGAATTTGAGACTCCTGATCTGTACAGTGTCGAGTGGACACAATAGACAATAGACTCAAAATAATTCCGTTCCTATGAATCACGTTGGGAAAAAAAACCTTCATCGTATTTTGGGGTTATTTCTAAAATAATTCCTTAACATTCCGTCACCTGTGACCATCTCTTTCTGTGCCTGATCCTGTTCTTGTCTTTTAGGTGAACCACCATCTTAGTTTGTCCCGGCATGGTCCATATGAGACGGCCGCCGTATGGCGTGGGGACCTTGACGGGAGGTGGGATGTTGATGATGCCCTTCACCACTGACCTGTTCAAGAAACACAGGAACGTTAGGTTAGATATTTTTTTGCAAAATATAGTGGTGTCAATATACATTTTTAAAAATCGCTTTTAGACTAAAACTTCGGAATTTCGACGCGTAAAATATCAAATTTTGTAAGATTGTGTTAATGGAAGAAGTCGCGTCACTTTAGGATTTGTTTAAAAAATATCTTTGCTTTTAGAAGATATAAGAAATACAACATTTCTTTCACATATGTAAATTTCCTCTCAAGACATTTCTTTTATGCTATAGTTCCCCCCCCCCCCCTTTTCCCCTTGCTTGCGCTCTAGAAACACTTTGTTGTTATTCAAGTGTTAAATGTTGAAAAAAAGCATCGAAATATACATACGTTTGAAAAGAACGAATTTTTTTTTTATTTCTGAGCTTAGAACAATTATTATTAAGCAGCTTGCCCACATCACACAAATGTCGGTCAACCAAGTTGAAAACGAAAATCAACTATACTCACACTAGACTTTGTCACATTCTATCAAGAAATCTCCATCCGAAGTTCTTCATCAGACTATAAACCTACCTGTAAGGGTAAATGTGCTGCACTAAAACGTACATCTACAGTGCTTTCAGAAACGTCTGCCGTTCTTCTTACTACAATATCTCCCCTATTGTGTCCCATACTGGTTGTACTTTGAGAAAGAGTTTTTGAAAGTATTTGAATATTGATCTAAATCAAATAAATTTTACTAAGATGATGATGATGATGACGATTTTTTAAAAATTTCCTTAATTGGCCTGGTAGACGCCACAAAGAAATCTTCGAGCGAGAGCGAGGGGGGTTTTTTCGGCTCCATTGTCATTATACTTAGAGGCACCTCCACTCGTCCAAATACCTCCATTCGAATTGCCATTGTTCCTGGACATTCAAACATATGTTTGACATCCTCCTTTTCATGGCTGCATCTTCGGCAATGTGGGCTAAGCTCTTCATTCACCACGTTCTTATACCATCTCAAGCTCCAATGATGGTCCGACCACAGTCTCGCTAGCTGAACCTGGTCTCAGCGACATGTGATTATTTTGTTCCTGCTTACTGGAGTACCCAGAATACACATCTTCCAGGTGCTGGTACTTAGCTCTGCATGGTGGGTCTCTGATTTCCCTCTTTATCATTGGAAAGACTCCTCTGTATGTTGTTGGTCGTCTGTCTCCTTCAATCTCTCTAGCTTCATTGGCAGCTTGGTCTGCTGCCTCATTTCCTTCGATTCCAGCTTAGCTTGGTATCCACTGGATTTTTATTGTGCCTGTGGCTTCACTGAACTTGCAGCGCAAATCATTTATATATGAACTGTTCCCTAGCAGTCCCTTGCAAAGGGAGTGACTGTCAGTCACGAGTAGAACATTGGTTCTACTGTCGCAATTGTCAGCAACCCATTGTGCAGCAGACATCATTGCCTGGCATTCGTCGTCATAAGATGATGTAAGGAATGCACCTTTAGTTTAATTATTTATGTTCGTGGTGGTTCATCATTCACTATCACCACTGCTGCTGCTCCACCTTAGCAGTATCCTGTGACAGCCGATCCATCAGTGAAAATTGTCACATTGGCACCAACCTCCTTGATCACATCCTCTGCAGCTTCACGTGCCTTTACAGGATCATCGCCTTTGATCTTCACCCCTCTCAATTCTGTCCGAATTTCAATTTCGCCATGGGTCTCCCATGGACACACTCTCACCAGATTGATTGGGCATCGATTATCTGCTTCTGGGGGGGGGGGGGGGGGC